AACATTGACACTGGAGAAAGGACTGCCCCAATTGGGGTCAGAACCAGGACGGACTGAATTTTGAGCAGCAGCAGCAATGGTCGCAAACAAACTGAAAAAGGAGGGGGCAGGACCCCAGGGCATGCTTCAGGCCGTGGTTTACCCAGAACACCAGAACAGGAAAGTGATGAACACACACACACATACACACACACACGGGAATGTTGATTCACTGAGAAGTGAGGCACACACATACACATGCACACGCTTGTGCAATGAAGAGTGATCCACACGCACACACACATACACGCTGATGCAATGAAGAATGCTTTGCTTATGCTGATATGCAAAATGCTGCACACAAACATCCCAATGCATAATTTTTATGAGGAGCCATTGATTACCATTAAATACTTAGAATGTGTTATATGTCACCCAGAGGGCATTTATGTAGGTTTTAGGAATAAGGTCTAAAACGGTTTGGTTATGAAAACAATGTCTGTGCGTGATGTCTGTTTATGGCTCAAGGCCTTGACTGAATTCTTTGCTGTGCTTCACACAGCCCTGATGAGGAACAGTGGCACAGAGTGAAAATGATGAATTAATAGTGTAAGGTTAGGTTGGAGTACGGCATTTTCTGTGATTGAGTTTTAATTCAAGGAGGAACAAAAGGTGTTACGGCACCTGAGGTTCTCATTCCCACACAATATTGTCCCGGCAGGAAGCAAAATGTTCCTGTGAATTTCTGGTTGATTGTTTGGTTTTGTTTAGCGCTAGCTTGATTTTATCAGTGAGCTTTGGCTTGTGTTCTTTCTCGTAAGCGAGAGAGGGATAGTTTTATGCTTGGACATGTCTGCAACGGGCCCTAGTTTGTGTTATTTTAGTAGTATTTTGTTGGTTATGTCTGTTTTCGTTTTTGTTACAGTGCACTGGAGAAAAAACATCTGAGAGGTGTGATCCACCGGTGGTGATATGTTGATATTTTGTGAGTTCATGATTTAACAATCAGCTCTTTAAACAAGGCCTGAAAGATTGAAATTTAAAGCGCTATAAAATATTATTACTGTAAACAGTTGCAAAGTGTGCTTCTCCATGATTGTAATTGGCTTGGGAGAAATTCACTTATAGGGAACACTGATCTAAAAGGATTGCACCGAGTCAATCCGGCCCAAAAAACAACAAGGAATTGTTTTCCTTTAAAATGATGACGTCATCTTGCTGGTGATGGAGGCTCGAATAGGTTGCGCGTGAGACTCCATTATCAGCAACATCTGGTATGAATGTGTATGGAGGTATGCACGTGAATGGACTGTGATGGACTGACGACTAAAAGTTTTGACTGACTTGATACTGAGACAATGACTGCACCAACTTTAGGATTAGTAAATGCCAATAAACAATTCATAAACAATTCACCCAGCCGACAAGAGAAGGGTGGATGCTTCGCTTTGTTTTGTTTTGTTTTTTCAGGAGCAGGAGGATAAGAGAGACTGGAGGAGGAGACTCTAGCTTCACATAAGTATGAACTGCAGACTTAACACTGTGGTTGCTGATTTTGAGTTACTGATGTTTGCATTAAGAAAACTGTGCTATATTAGCTGTGTTTTGATTAAGGTATCATGTTATATTATTGGGAATGCCAAATGCTACAGTGGAGAAGACTTTTGATGCCACTCATGACTGGAACATGTTATTATTAACCATAGCAGGCCACTGTAAAAAGTCAATTAAATTTTATAAAGGAAAATCGCCAAAACCTTAACAATACCTATGAATGACTTGCCACATTCAGAATAGAGATATGCAATAATAAACATTGGTCCACATGATTTAGGTTCTCACTTGAAATAGTAAGTTATTAAATGTAGAATATAATCGACAGGGACATTTGATAGGATGTGGTACTGCAAAAGAACAAGAGCAAAGTAAATAAAGAAAATATTGTGTTTAGTTTGGATATTTTCAAATTAAAATGTACCATTACACTCAGAGGATCAATATGAAATAAAACATATGCAAAATTTGTAGGAAGTACATGACTGATAACTGTTCTGTCCTGAGCGTTTGTTTCTAGAGCACCCACTTGACCACACCAACAGTTTCTCGCCACCGAGGAGGGGTACTTGCAAAAAGAATAAAATAAAAATCTGAGTTTAACAAAACATTTTAAATGTAAATATCAAGCTTACCTTCCTTTTTCCATGAAATGTGCTTGTGGGCACGCCAGCCATTTTGAAAAGGTGGGCAAAACAATTGGCAAGGCCACACCCCCACACGTGTGATATAATTTTAAAGGTACTGTTGCCCTCTCTAAGAAACATCAGGACTTAGAGGAGTGGCAAGTAGAGTATGCGAGCTACAAGCAAAAAAACTAAAATGTGTACTATAGTGTGTAAAAATGAAATACTGGGTCATCAGGGGGAGCACACTCCCCCTCCTTGAAGAGCTCACCCACTCAACCAGAAAACAGCTAACCCCAGATAAGGCAGCGTGATGTATCCCGAGACAACAGGACTGGGACATCCAAATAAAGGTGTGAAACAATCGCCTTCAAAAGGTTATCGATTCACTCCAACCAAAATTAGGACCACACGGTGCGGCAAGAGTTAATAGTTATTAGTCTCAACACCCAAGGATAACCAGAAGAGCATGACTGATATGATGGAACTGGGATTTTGTTACACTTAATTTTTGCAAAACACAAATAAAACTAAATTGAAACTAAGGATTTTCAGAAAATAAAAACTAAACGAAACTAGCAAAGAATTGGTAAAAACTAATTACAACTGGTAAAAATTGAAAATCTGGAGTCGAAACTAAATAAAAATAACAACTAATGGAAATGGCGAAAAGTTTAAAACCCTGGTGCAGAGATTGGCAAATCTGACCAGGAAACGTTATAAAATGGATTGTCAGGATAGTCAGCGTTAAAGCCACTTTTGACAGTCCATACTAGGATGGCATTGGACATCTTCGGGGCAGAAAAGGGTTGGTGTGACCAAGGTGTAGTTTGGCTTGTTGTATGTACATTTCAAAATGTTACAGCTCTGGATGGACCAGTTACCAGGGCATGGAAGGATGACAGACTTTATTACATGAGGAGAAGGGACATTTTCGGGATCGAAGATCCTCAGGGATGACAAGGCTGGAGCAACGGTACTCGAGAGAAGAATTTCTGATACTTTCTGAGATATGATGTCACTAACCTTCTCTTTTAATTGTCTAGCTCCAATGAATTGACACATGGGAGTGTGTCAAAAAGGGGGAGTTGAGTCCGAACATCAAACAATGGTTTTATGAACATCTTATGAGTTTATTTTTGTGTTTAATAAATTAGCTATGGTAAAACTTAAGCTTATAATGTGTTAGACTTAGAAAGGGTTCACTAATTTTTGATTTCCTTTACACACACATAGATTATGATTAGAATAGGTCCTGAACATAATATTTTAAACCAAATTTGAATCATTAGAACAACAATGGATAACAATATTAGATTATCAAGGCTAGGGAGAGAGGTGTTTTGGTTTTCTGTCTCTTGCAGAGAAAGGAACAGACACCAGACGGGGACCCGGAGATGTGAGGACCCTTCACAGCAGGGACAGATGTAGGGACTGCCGAGACAGCAACTGGGGTCAAGTGTCATGACGTTTGGGCTCCTGGAGAAGATGGATCCCACAAACACAGCAATAACCATGAAGGGGTTGGCGAAAACCAGGAACACCAGACCAACGAGGTTCGAGAGGCTCTTGGCAGAAAGGGGGACACGCCGGTGAACCCAAAACACACAGATCCTTGTTTGAAATCGGGACAGAATAATCCCCAGAACTGTGCAATGACTAAAGGGTGGTCTAACCCCGGAGGACGAAGAAAGAAGCTGAGAATCACCCAACTGGAAGACACTGGTAGCTGCAGCAATAAAAATAAAGGTTAAAAGCTCCTTAGACAGAGGTTCTAGTCTAAGTACATTTGAAAGGTATAAGGGGGCATTAAAATGGGAGTGGAAAACTGGAGCACCAAAATAAAGCTGTGGGAAAATGGGGAGTGATGGGAGTGTCATCTGTAACTGCTGTTATGGTTGTAAATCTAACTTTGCTTGCATCTGAACTGCGTGAACACAGAGGTCATCCCCCATATGGTCCACCCGTTAAAGGGGGACAGAGGGCCTCAGGATCAAGAAAACCTGGACCTTGCAACGCTGAAGTGCTTGTTATTAGTGATCTCTTTAATGAGAGATCAAAAGAGGGTATTGTGATATTATTCTGTTATTATATGTTACCTTATATATGTAATCAAAATAGTTGAATTAGGATATTGTTGTAGATCATATTATACCCTTTAAAATAGAGTGTGTGATCTGTATGTAGTTTAGTTCTCATTATACTTTTGAGTTAACAGAACATATTCACATATTAGTTCATTAGATAAATGTGCATCACTCTGTATCCTTGATCTGCTGGGAATGTGTTACACTGTTTTCTTGACATGCTTAATTGTTGAATCATGAAAAGAAGGTTGTAAGCAGGAGACTCTGTGTCTAAAGACAGGGGAGATAGACAGACCACATTCCACACCCCCACCTTACAGAAAGCAGAGAAACAACTGCCGAGGTCATAACTTAGGCGCTGTAACAGAGAAAAAATGTGATGTTTTGGCTTTTACGACTAGCTGGGGGCCACTAGAGACTATAAAAAGCTGAGCAACCCGTCACCATTTTGAGACATGTGCCTGACCCTCTGGTAGCATCTCTCCCGTCCGGACGTTGTAATGCTCTTATTGTTGAATTGTATGGAAATAAATGATTGTTGATTGAGCATTGATACACCGAGTATTGTCCTTCCTTCAGCCCAAAGATTCAAAGAACTGCGTGTTTTCAACAACGGGTGAAATACTCAGAGAGCAATCACACCCAGTGCGAGGCACAGCTCTTTATTTATAGGTTACATTGTCAATATGTAAATATGGTCACATTTCCTGTTATGCAGGTCCTGATGCTGTCAGTGTGTAAGCTGTGTGTGTGTGTGTGTTTCAAGAAGTTCGTGTGTGTGCTAATAATGTCACAGGGTGAGCTTCCTGTTTCTGCAGAGTTGGTACATTGTGTCTGGTGAAATATGTGAACATAAGCAGAACATAACATTTGAAGCATAATCAAATAAAAAACAGTAAAAACTCTATAACATTCCCTCCTGTTGTAAATATATTTCACTCCTGAAGTTAATATTTTACACTTAATCATACTTTATTATCAGCCAACAATCACTTGCTTATAACATTTTCAATTGTAGCATCATTCAGTATGTGTATGTGTTTTCCTATACTAAATCCTCTTCGTCCAGTTCATCTTCTTGTGGCAGTCCAACATAGGTGATCACTGTGGCCTGTACCATTTTGTCAATCATTGATCTGATACAGGGTAGAATGCAAGTTGAGAACATGCAAAGCAATAAAAGAAGAACTCCTATCAAGACAAGTCCTTTGATCACGAGGGTCTTCCAGCTGCCGCTCAGCAGCCAGGTCAGCCAGTCCTCTGTGTTCGTGACATAGTCTTGCTGCTCTGCATTACTCAGTTGTCGTAACTTGTCTAGGGCGGTGGTCATGGTCAAAGAGTGCACGTTGTCCGGGATTTAGGTGCAACAAGTGGTGTTGAATAAGACACAGAGGCCCCCTCTCTCAGCGAGAATCATGTCCAGGGCGACTCTGTGTTGCATAACCACTATTCTGATCGCGTCGATTTCCCCATTCTGAGCCTTGTTTATCCTTGTTGAGCTGTTCAGGAAAAGTCCAAATTGGTAGTCAAGAGTCTCAATTCTTAGCATGTTTTTTCCATTCCCGATCCATGGGAACAGTTAGTGTAGGACCTTCTGTCTGGTGGTCCACAACTTGAACTCCGCTGGTACATCACTGCCCCAGATTGGGTCATGCGGTTGCACGTCATCAGTGCTCCTCCTGCGTCTTGGTTGGTCCTGATGGAATACTCTGAATGTGTGGTCTGACACTAAAATTGGGGCGCAGAGTCCGGTGCTGTTGGGTGGGATGGTGAAGTATGTCTTTGAGCCACATGCCCATGCTGTACCCTGCACCCAATATGTGCCATTCAGGAAGCTTATCCGTGCCTTTCTGTCCTGCGGCATTCGGAAAGTCTGGGAGCAGTTGTGGTTCATTCCCAGCTTTCTGTTGCCGTATGCGAAGGTGAAACACATTGGATGTTGTATTCCTGGTTCCCTCCTGACATTGAAAGATTTTCCCTTGTCATTGGTTGCATTCAGGTGTACCCAGTATCGGTCATCACAGCTGTAGTTCCAGTCTGAGACCTCTGGTGTACAGAACACTACCTCATTAGTTGTATAGTTGATCAGTGTTCCATTACACCGTGGCAGGTCGGGTTTTGTGACTTGTCTCTTTAACTCAACCTTGAAGAAGAAGATGTCTTCGGGGGAACATGTTCTGCTGGTGGCTTTGTAGAATATACATAGGGCTTCGGAAAGGCTGGGTGATTTTCCATATAGGGTGGCTTGCATTGCTGTTGTTGGAAGGTGAGAACAGACGTAGCAGCCAGTGTGGTTGTCTTCTGTATGTACTCGGTTGTAGACGTACCGGTACCCGGCATTGTTCAGCCAGGGGTGGTTGTGCTCTTTGTCCATATCCTTTAGGTGTAAGTTGTCATATGACCATTTCTTTTGCAGGCGATGCTGTGGGTCCTCGTCTTTCCAGGTGAGTATCCAGCCACTATGAGGACAAGTTTCTTCATGATGACCAGGCACACCCGGGCTCCAGGTGAGTAGACCACTGGCGAGAAGACAAAAGGGCGGGATATACCCAAACAACCCTTTCCTCCACCAGGAGAACACCTAGGAGTCGGGGGAACCGGCGTCTATGCTTGTGTTGTCACTCACTTTTTTGCAGTGGCTTTGGTGGATCCAAGATGGTCTTTCTGCTATTTTGCAGGCGGTTGGTGTTGTGAGCAGGACCTGGTACGGGCCTTCCCACCTCGGTGAACTCCAATTTTTCCTCTGGAGCACTTTAATCAGGATCCAATCACCTGGTTGCAACCTGCAAGATACTGGAGAGATATTACTCGGCAGTTGGTTCTCAAACAGCTTAGTCATCCACTCTGCTAGGGTGGTTTCTCTTATAGACTTATTAATAGGCTCACTAGTGAGAGGCAGTGGAAAAAAGGTCTCCCGTGAAGTGCTTAGGGAGGATATCTGACATTCCCCCCTGTCGACACACGTGTTAATCCGTGTGTCGCTAATGCTGCTGTCTTGTGTAGGGATTTTGGCAATACTGGTTTGCCATTACAGGTCAGTAAGTCATTGTGTAGTTCTGCTCCACACGTTAGCCATTTCTTTTGCTCTGCAATAGGTGCGGCTTTCTGTTCCTCTTTAAGTACATCAAGTGGTATCAGCTGTGAAGTTTCAGACTTTAATGTCTGAAACTTCACAGCTGATTTGTATTGGTTGCTCTGCGGCCTTCTTCGCGGCTTGGTCTGTGAAGTTATTGCCTTCAGTAATTTCTGAATTATCTTTTTTGGTGTGCAACACATATTGACTGTCAGTGTGAATATTTATATCTTGACCTTTGCGCAGCATGCACGTATGATAGCCGTTAGTTCTGCACTCTGTGCTGAAAAAGAGGAAGTAAGGGCTTTTGCTTCTAAAACTGTGTCTACTGTGGTGACAGCGTAACCTACACAGTTTCGCCCGAGACTATTTTTGAACGCTGAACCGTCTTACAAAGATGTTAACGAAACCAGCTTGTGGTGTCCATTCTATTTTATCTTTCAGTGCTAGATTTTTTCCATAAACTAAGTTTTGCAATGGTTCAGCTAACAGAGCATATTCAGGTATCCAGCACCTGCAAAAATTGCAGAGACCTAAATAACTCATCATTTGTTGTTTTGTGAGTGGTTTTGGGGCATTCTACACTGCTAGTTTTCTGCTGTCTAACAGTGTTCTGCCTTCTCCTGTAAGCTTATGTCTGAGGTACGTGACCTCTTTGCCCCACAACTGTAACTTGTGTTGTGAGACTTTATGACCCTGCTCTGTTAAGTGTTGCGTGTCTCCTGTAACGAGAATATCATCAACGTATAGAAAAAACTGACCTGTGGCAGGGAGCGTGCATAATGACATAGATTTCTTTAATGCCTCTGCATACAGGGTGGGGCTGTTCTGAAAACCCTGCGGCAGTCTGGTGTAGGTGTACTTTTCATTATCAAAAGTGAATCCGAACAGGTTTTGTGAATCTGGGTGTAATGGCACAGAGAAAAACGCGTTTGAAAGATCTATAACTGAGAACCATTGTTCTTTTGGTGTCACTTGATTTAAAGTTGTGTGTGGATTTGCTACCACAGGTAGAATTTGTTCTGTTACCTCGTTTATTGCTCTAAGATCATGAACTAGACGATATTTTTCTGTGTCTGCTTTTTTCACTGGGAAAATCGGAGTATTACAGGTTGCTTTTGTTGTCTTCACTAGGATGCCTGCTTTTTCCATATCTGCAATTACTGGCCTGATCCCTGTCTTTGCTTCCTACTGCATGCAGACTGCATTTCCGCTTTTTGTAACATACAGATGCTGTAATGTTAGTTTCTGCTTCTGTATCTGTTTGTCATATGGTGGGTCAAAGCCCGGGCTCAGTTTAAACCTCAGCGTGTTGTGATACTCAGTGTATGGCTGCTGTATTGATGAGGCTGGTAAGTACCTGCTAGCTAAATGGTGGAGTGGTGGAGGCAGATCCAAGGTCCAATAATAGTGGGGCTCACCAAGTCCCCTGCACACATTTATCTGACAGCCTGCTTGGCCTTGTTCCACATTTAACATTAGCTTAGCATACATGCCTTCTGGCCCTGGCAGGCTCAGGTTCAGTTGAGGCATTTTTAGATACCTTCTAGTTTTTTAAAGAATTCACACATCTTACATATTTCAAACTTTGAAGTTAGGGTTTTGCTTATATATATATATTTTTTAAACTTTGCATTGCTTATAGCTCACAGCTCTAAAACTGGGCATTTGTAAATCATATGCCTAATCACTATGTGTCACTGTGATCCACAAGTATTACAAGGATACTTATTGTCATTAATATTATATTTTTATTAATATTATCATCTTTTTCTTTCCATATAATAACAACAGTATATTACAACATTTTATCAGTGTATATCACTATACTACTACTGAGCCAATTTAATAGTTAGGATCATCTTACTCAGCAAACAGATAATTTAGAATTCATCCAATCTGTACAAATTGTTTTTCTCTGAACAGGTTTGTGCCTACTTTTTAGACTGGTCTTCTGTTTGCCTCATCTCAGATCCAATCTTCAGTCACATTCATTCTCTCTGTTGCATGTCGAACCAAGTAATTTATTATTATTTTTATTTTTATATTTTATTTTGTATCCATCAAGGGCTTCGGGTGGTCTGCAGTTCCACCCTTTCCCAAGCTGGAGACATTTACCTTTTCACACACTTTCCTTGGCTGAACAATGACACAGCCTTAATCTACCTCATGCATCTCTCTTTTTTATAGAAAAGGTTTTCATGTGAATGATTTCCTTTTATTTATTGTATACAATCTGGGCATGATCACCATGCCAACTATATTTCATTGTTTAGTTCTGTTTGTAAGGTTCCTCTTAAAATAGTTACTGCAGAGGGACTGCATTTCCCCTCCCACGCAGGACAATTTAGTTTCTTTGGATTTCTCCACCTACCTGCACTTATTCGGCCGGCGCCGGGATATTTTCTGTCTAACCACTGTTTATCTGCCGTGAGTTTAGTTTCGTTATTACCCATTTTGTTTATTACATTATTCACAGAACTGTGAAACTGTCTCTGGCACGAGAGTCGAGAGAGGTTACTAAGATGGCCTTCGACCCCTGTCCTATAGTCAGGGGCGGTCTCAGTTTTATGTGATGAAACACAACCTTTTTTCTCTCTCCTCACCAGTACGTAAGTTATCACAGGAAAAACAGTGAGAACGATGTAGTGTCCTAAAGTCCCTTTAAAAATCACTCATTCTCTCAATACATTTATTCAAACAGTTCGCGCAATTTCTATCCTATGTTAGTTGACACTTTCCGTACACTTATTTACCTTCTAGTAAATTTAGACTTCCAGCTTTTTAGCTGCAAAACGAGTGTCTATTACACTGCCAGTTTCGTCTTACAAGCGAGTCTTAAAACTGCCAGTCCCCGTAGGACGAGTTTTCTTGGAACAGTGTCACCCTAAACACCGATAATTTTATGCAAGGTGTGTCAAATGTGGAATAATCACCTGGCTTCGCTGTTGCCGGTCTGTCGGGCGTCCTCCTTCAAGCCCCACCGCCGTGGGCCTGTATAAGACGTTGGCCAGGACCCGAATTTTAACGTCCCTGGACTTTCAACCCTTCCTGGAGGGTGCTCTGCAGAGGCTTCAACGCAGGTTTGTCACGGCGTCGGGACTTGAGGAAGGATACTGTGTGAAATGGAGCATAATATTATTATTAATACCAGTCCATTAACGGCTTCGAAGGACAAATTAATTGTCAGAGATTTACAGTTAACAAACAGTCAGGTGAATAAACAACACTGAGACACTCGAGATATTTAACGTGCTGCACGGGTGAAATACTCAGAGAGCAATCACACCCAGTGCGAGGCACAGCTCTTTATTTATAGGTTACATTGTCAATATTGTTTCTGTTTCCTTTTTTGTTGTGAAATCAGACACAACTTAAAGAAACTCAGGAGAATATTTTCATAGCCATTTAATCAGGTGAAGAAACTGCAGAAAGCTGAAAAAAAAATTGGTTTGAAAGAGTAAACGGAGAGGCAGACTGATTACAGCTAGCAACAAATAATTTTTCAGTGATTATTTTGTACTGTTGAATAAACAGAATTGAACAAAGTTGGACACCTAATGCATGAACCAAAAAAAATGATGTAGAAAAACTGGACACAGTATTAATACAACACTTAAATATTTAGGCAATGAAGACACCAAGTGAAGTGTTTCGGGTGTAATTTTGCACCATTCTTCCTGCAAACAAGTCTTAAGGTGGGCAACAGTACGAGATCTTCATTGTGGCATTTTGTGCTTCCAAATACGCCACACATTCTCTATTCGAGACAGGTCGGGATAAACTTTTACATGATGGCTCAGGACAAATTTAGCTCTTTTTAAATTACTGTTGATCTCCACAAACTAAAGAATTCAAGTCAATTTCCACAGCTATGGGCCAGTTATGTTTACAGTTGACATTTTTATTCATTGATTTAGCACACAACCATTAGGCTGGGCTATTTAGATGCTTTTCTCTTTACTTATGTTAGTAAAATGATCAGGGATCTAGGGAAGTGGTCACTTGCAATGTTGAACCTTGAACAATGTCAGAGATTTACAGTTAACAAACAGTCAGGTGAATAAACAACACTGAGACACTCGAGATATTTAACGTGCTGCACGGGTGAAATACTCAGAGAGCAATCACACCCAGTGTAAAACTGAAGCTCTGAATTTACCATTACCTATGGTCGTGAGCACTGGGTAGTGACCGAAAGAACAAGATCGCAGATATAAGCGGCTTTGCCTGAAGGGTGGCTGGCAAACACCTGGCCTGTCTCCTTTAGAGATAGGGTCAGGTGTTTTGGCCATCTGGGAGGGCCTCAGAGTAGAACCGCTGCTCCTCCACATCAAAAGGAGCCAATTGAGGTGGTTCGGCATCTCACTATGATGCCTCCTGGGTGGGGTGTTCTGGGCATGTCCCAGCGAGAAGAGGCCCTGGGGAAGACCCAGGACAAACTCAAGAGAATCTATCTTTTGGCTGGCCTGGGAACACCTTGGTGTTCCCCCGGAAAGGCTGGAGGAGGTGGCCCAGGAGCGGGAGGTCTGGGTTTTCTCTGGTTAGGCTGCTGCCCCTGCGACTTGGCCCAGGACAAGCAGAAGAAAATAGATGGATGGATGTCCAAACAGGGACTCAGAAATGCACACTATCTTGGTCGACTGCTGCATCTAAACTTTCTCCCAGACCTCTCAGACCTAATGTCCTGTTCAATATCTAATCCAAAGTTTATTTAGCATACAGACTGGAAAATCTGGGATTGATCCACTGACTTTTCAATTTGTAGGCGCTACTACCTGAGCCACAGCCCTCACCAACACTGCATGAATTTAGAAACTCCTTTTAAGTCTGCAACACATGGAAAATGTGTTTGTTTATGTGGTAAACAAAAAAGTGTGAAACAACTCAAAACATATTTTAGATTTTTCAAATAACCAGGCTTTGCTTTGAATACAGCTTTGCACACTCTTGGCATTCTCTCGTTGAGCTTCATGAGGTAGTCACATGAAAAGGTTTTCCAGCAACCTTGAAAGAGTTCCCAGAGATGCCGAGCACTTGTTTGACCTTTGGCCCTTACTCGGTCGATCTCATCCCAAACCATCTCTATTGTGTTTAGATCAGGTGACTGTGGAGGCCAGGAAACCAAATACTAAACATACTAAACCAACTAAACGCAAACTGGAAAGGATGGCATGTCGCTGTTGGTGCTGCTTCAGTGTGCCATTTTGCGACTTCCTGCAATTTTAAAATTACATTGATTAAAGTCATATTTAGTTTTGTTTTATAAATTCTCTATTTAAGCTAATTGTTTGGAGGAAATAACCCTTTTGCTTGGAAAATGGAACAAATGTACAGACCTATTTGAACTGGAAGACACTCACCTTCTATCAGTGTTTGCAACCTTATGATTGCACAGTTCTGTGTTTCTCTGTCTCTGTTTTTGTATCCAAGGGTGTGGTGCTCCTCCCTCCCAGCTACCTGTTTGCACACCTGTCATCGATCATGACAGTAATGCTGTTATACTGCTGTCCATACAATGTATTCACACTTTCATAAACAGAGTATTCATAATAATTCGTTAATATCTTAAGTTTCAGTGTGCCTTCAATTTTGAATAAACCCCAACAGTGTCACCAGCAAAGCACCATCACACCTCCTCCTTCATGCTTCACGTTAGGACTCATCCATGCAGTTATCTCTAGCCGACTTGATTACTGTAACAGTATCTTCACAAGTTTACCTAAAAAATCAATCAGACAAATGCAGCTGATCCAGAACACTGCTGCTCATGTTCTCACTAAAACCAAGACATCATGCAACACCTACGCTTTGATGACAAGTCCACCCGCAGTGATCGAGCAAAGACTGACAAGTTCGCTGCAATTTCCAGTGTGTGGGGATCATTTGTCACCAACTGCATCACGTGCTACAACCCTGGTCTACATATCACCGTTGATGAACAGCTTTTCCCATCAAAGACTCGGTGCTGTTTCCTGCAGTATATTGCAAGTAAACCGGACAAGTTTGGGATCAAGTTTTGGGTGGCCTGCGACCTAAAATCCAAGTACATTTGCAATGTCTTCCCATATCTTGGCAAGGACCCCAATCGTCCCACTGGGGAGAGACTTTCTGAAAATGTAGTAATGAGGCTGATGGAACCATTCCTAGACAAGGGCAGAAATGTTACCACGGACAATTTCTTCACATCGCTTTCACTTGCGCAAAAACTTCTTGGACGGAAAACCACCATCCTCGCACAGTCAACAAGATTCGCAGGGAAATTCCTCAATCCACTAGGCAGACAGATCGCAATGAATTCACCACTCAGGTATGCCACTCCACACCGAGCCCTGGAAAAGGGCCACGTGTCAGGTCAAACACAGATGCAAAAAAAATCAGGCCACTGTGCGATGTGTTCACTGCTACAGGTACACATGTGGTAAATGCAGACGACAGATACCGTGGCAGTGCCAGGATTGTGAGTGATTGCTGAAAATGTTGAAATGTACTCACTCGCTTTTTATCATTATTTATAAATATGTGTACAAATGGTTGGTTTTTTGTACTGTTTTCATCAATAAATGTCAGCAACAAAGGACATGTGTTGATTTCTCCCTAAGATGGCAAACTGAAACACTCCACTCCCCCACCCCCTCAATCACTCACCCCCACTCCCCTCCCTCCAGAATTCCTAGGTAACGACCTAATATACATGTGAATGACTAGCCAATTTAGCTTCCACTTCCAGCATTTGACTGCTCTCCGGCTTTTAAAGGTAGAACGGTAGAAGCCTGGAAATCCCAGTGCATCCCAGTGATGCTCATGCAGGAGTGGAGTTTAGGTAATAATTATTATTGTTCAGAGAGATCAAGCCCATATGTTGTTAGCCCCTTTGCCACAGCTGAGGTTAAGAGAAGCCAGAAACCTTTGTATAGTTTGTGGGAAATGAGAGATTGAAAGAACTGTATAACTAGGAGTCCCAGGCTTCTACCTTTCTACCTATAAAACCCGCCACCAGCCAAATGGCTGGTAGGCTTTTAGCTAAGCTTTAGCTTCAGCCAAGTGGAAGCTAAATTGGCTAGTCATTCATATGTATATTAGGTAGTTAAAAAGGAATTCAGGAGGGAGGGGAGTGGGGGTGTGTGGATGAGGGGGTGGGGGAGCTGCTAAAAGCTGTGAACTTCCTTTTGTGTTTCATCTTGATGCATTCTCAATCATCCAGGGAAATAAATCTCCAAAAGTCACCAACTTGGAGTGTTTCAGTTTGCCGTCTTAGGGAGAAATCAACACACATGGGTGTTTGTCCTTTGTTGCTGAGATTTATTGATAAAACAGTACAAAAAACCAACCATTTGTATACATATTTACAAATAATAATGAGAAACAAACTTACTAATAAGCTGTTGAACTGCCGGTCAAACAGATATTTCTACTGTGTCAGAGATGATGAATGTTCCGTGTTCCTCTTTATATTTTCCATCAGTACACACACGTCATGACATTGCTCAGTCAATCAGCTGCACAATATACACAATATAGAGTTTAAATGTAAATTAAAAATATAAAAATGTAAAAAGCATTGGTCAACAGAAAGCTTGTTTGAACAGTAAAGTTTTTAACTGCTTTTTAAAAGATTCCACAGAGTCAACCAAACGTAGTTGTAGAGGTAGACTTTTCCACAGCATTGGTGCCACAGACCCTTTCGTCTTCAGACGTGTTCTGGGAGAAACAAACAACTCTTAGTCTGTGAGCGGAGACGGCGAGCAGTAGTGTATTTTGTGAGAAGCTTGGATAAATAATCTGGGGCTTGGCCATTTAGTGCGCTGTACGTTAAAACAATAATTTTAAAACGAATTCTAAATCTATTGGGAGCCAATGTAAAGAACATAAAATAGGAGTGATGTGAGCTCGCTTGCTAGAGCAAGTTAGTAGTCTGGCTGCTGCGTTTTGTATAGCTTGGAGGCGAGAAAGTGATGATTTATCCAAGCTGGTAAACAGGGAATTATAATAATCTAAACGCGATGACACAAATGCATGGACAATTTTTTCCAGTTCAGCTAAGGAGACCATATGTTGCAGTTTAGAAA